CTCTCTCTCTCTCTCTCTCTCTCTCTCTCTCTCTCTCTCTCTCTCTCTCTCCCCCACTCTGTCTCTCCTTTCGCCTTGCCCCCTCTCCCCCTCCCCTTCACTTGACATATAACTAACCCCTTCTCCCTTCACTTGGAAACATTGCCAGGGTACAGACGGTAAACAAAATCAGACTTCACTTGGTGGAGAAAGAGGGCAAGGGGAGGATAGCCGGTCCCTTGTGCCACCAAGGAGGCAAAAAAGAGAGGACATTTGAAAAAGTGGGAGAAAGGCAGGATCCGGAAAGAAGCATAAGTTGAGAAAGAGGTAAGTTTGACTCAACCATTTCCCCGACTTCATGACTATAAGAAGAGAATGGGCTGATTGAGCATCAAGAGGGAACAAAGAGCAGCCAAAGGATTTGAAAAGATAGGCATGTGGGAAGGGCTATGTGTTGACCCCCAATGGGGGATTGTATGGATCTTCTTGCTTGTGTGGGATTGTGCAGGTGAGTGATGGCTAGAAATGCCTTGAGCGGGATAGGGGCGAGAGGAACTGRGCACCAAGAGTGAAAGGGAAGAGGGACAAAGGGGYTATGGGACCCTTGACATAGAGCCAAACCATGGGAATGACTTTTCAGTATGAAGACTCGGAGTGTAAATGAGAGTGTAATCGTACCAAGGAAATTGTGATGATGTGTGTGCATGCATATGAGGACCCCGAAAGGACTAAGGGACCTACTTCAATAAGGAGGAAAACAAATTATGAGACCCGATGGATGCGTAGAGGCGAGGAAGAAGATGGCTCCGCCGCACCCCGATGACGCCATATAGCCACAATGCTTAGGGAAATGGTGCGTGGCCTAAGGATGACGCTTAGCCTACGCACAAGAAAAGAGAAATACTCAAAGAACCCTTGAGCTGCATGCGTATTGGAAGGAGCAATTGCATGAGAACACAACAAAGAAGCAAAAAAAATAAGCGTTGCGGAACGACCAGCGAGTCTGCCACCCGGCGTGAGGGCTGAGCTACATCCTCAATGTCAAAGCTCTCTCCCGCGATGGCCCACCCCCACCCATATCAAAGCACTAGGTGGGGGTGACCTTGGGACGAATGGTCCGCGTCCTGAGCATGAGTGTGGGCGGGCCGAGCCAACTGGGACCCGCAGTGGGGTCGACTAAGGCTCGAAAGTCTACCGGGGTTTGGCCCTACAAAAATGGTGGAGGTGCCGGGTATGGGGTTAAATTGACCCTTGCGATTCTGATGGGGGCGCCCAACGCATTGACGCGTACACAACCCAAGATAAGGAAAATGGACTTGTGTTTGCTCTTTCCCTTGTGAGAAATCAGATTTGAGGGTGGCTGGGCGCATGGCATGGCCAGGCTTGGAGGTATAACATGCATGCTATGCACTTGATCAACCATTCCTTTGAGGAATGGCTTTAGCCCTCCTTTGTCCGGTGCTGGTGTTCGCAAGTGCGGGGAAGCCTTGGGCAAGTCGCAGGTCGACCCTTCCTCTTCGTATGAAAGAAAGGCTCCGGTTACCTGGCAAGCGGTTGGTGCTTGGCTTAGGCCAGGTTCCAATGAAAATCCCATGGCGGAGTGATCCGACCGAAGGGGGGCTTTCGCCCTTCTTCTTTGAGCCCAGCGGGCTCATGCACTTTGCACTTTTTTTTTTTTTAATGATTGAAGGAACCAACACGAACACAACGGGTCATCAAGAAAGAACAATCCCACCCTATGAAAGGACAAACAAGCGAAGAAAAATAAAATGAAGGGAGTTGCTAGACTCCAAGGAAAACTAGCTCACCCTTGAAGATTCTCACGAGAAGGAACCAACCACTATGTATGAAAGTAGGGGGAGTGACACTCATTGTCCTGAGATAAAATTTGTGAGTAATGGGTAGGAAGCGCTGGGTGCACCAAGGGAATGACACTTGTACTATGTGTGTCCCACTTGGGACTTGTGTTTGCATGATGGGGTTTGAGCGTCCTGCCTTTCGGAAGGAAAAGATTGGTCTGCACCGACCAGTGCCGGTTGCGAAACGTCGTTCTCTTTTGTAAGTTGTCGTGTGTTCATATGTGGAGGTCAGGCCACCGAGCTGTCGAACGCGAGTCTGTCACGTCGGTTGATTAGTAGCATTCTCGTTCGAGCAGTGACGGGCTTCGGCTCAATGATCTGTCGGACGAAGTGTGAAATCTCCTCAAGCGGGGCTTAGCCTGTTGGCTGGCGGAGGGAGTACCACTGCATGCGGACAAAGACGGAGCTTCGGAGGCAATTAGTAGCTTCCCGTAGCATGGTTTTGGGAAAGGCTGATTCTTGTCGGACCGATGGAAGTGAATGCCCGGACGACTGACTTTGTCCTTGTATTTAGGCACTCAAGGTAACCCTTGGTGTCGGTATGGATGTGCAAAGCAGCAAGACGGGATGGGGTATTATGGGTAAGGAGGAAAGGGCGAATGCCTTGCCGAGACCTGGGTACCGCGCTCGCGACGGTTGAGCTGCGCTTCAGGTATGGGATAAAACTCTACCGATAGTACCAGCGGAGAGACCATATTGGGGATGGCCGGTGAGGAGATGACCGGCCCGTATGTGAGGTTGCTTGATTTTCTTTTATGTGTTCCCCCTCTGTAAAAATTGATTGAGCTTGGATTGTTGGACGCACACTCTTCTAAGTCTATTCCCCCTCCCATCTAAGTCCACACGAGTAAGAGATGATCGGAAGGAAGGAGGATAGAGGTCAATTGCAATGGAACCAAGAGAAAGAATGTGGGCAAATGGATGGCCGACCGAGGGAATTATGGGAAGGAGGTACTTAGGAATGGGGAGGTAAAATAGGGAGACCTTGATGAGGGTCTGAAATAATTCTCATCTAGGACAAGGGTTGACCTGACCAAAAGGATCGGTTTGTGCCTTTTTATGAAAACAGGTGTCGGGTGCTGAAAACAAGATGGCGCGATGGTTGCCTTCCCCGATCTATACTAGCAGCCCGGAAATGCCAGTAGATGTAAAGGATGGGGTAGCGGTCGTCCTCCCGGAAAATGGAACGTGGACGGACCTTGAACCAGCGTATCAAACGGTAATACTGGAAGGAGAGGATGCTTTCCTTTGGATAGAAACAATATGGACTAATGTCAGCTTGACGAGGTTGTCACCAAATTTAATGGATTTGGAATTCCGAGGGACAGTGGAAGCCCGGGGGTGGGTCTACTTGTCGCAAGATGGGAAGAAAGTTATGATCATAGAGTTGGCACTCGGGAATACGTCGGACGAGTTGTTTAGGAAGGCAGAAGCGGAGGTTGTGTGGGCTGCATGTCAACGGAGGGAAATGAAAATGGAAAAGGTAGACGTACGGGTGAAATTTAGGGATAGAGGAAGTATGAGGCGACCCGTAAGAACCATGCGATGTGTGCTGCCCTCCTTCCTAGTGGATGCGGTTTTCAGAACTCGGAGCAGGCTAGTACGGATATGCCAGTCCATGACGAACCTCGGGTTATACCAATACGCTAGGCATGATTTTTTTCGGTTATCAGTAGAGATGGGGCCGTTCGAGAGGAACTGGGCGGAGGAGCTGGCCGAGACACTAAACTGCCTTTGCATAGACAATATCTTTGTCCCTAGCGCTGTGCATTGGGGGATAGTCTATAGGAATGTGGCAATAGGGGAGACGTTTCTAGATGGGGTAAGGGAGTTGATGTACGACGAGGAGGACGACTTCAGTAATGAAGATGAAGATGAAGAGATAGAGGACTAGGACTTCTAAGAGGGGTAGGGTGACTTAACTTAGGGAGGAATGATGGTCTGGTATTGTGCAGGAAATGAGAAAGATGACTAGAGAAGAAAGGATGATGGAATACCCCTTCAAAGGCTGGGAACCACAGCGACTGGATTGGGTTTGAGGTTGCCCGGGACTTGTCATATGTATGGATAGAGCGGATTTGGAACCCGATAAGGAAAGAGGAAGGTTGGGATGATATAGCAGAAGGCAAGGTAGAGTCAGTTGGAACGATTGTCCTTTCCGAGGATGGATGGCACCTGTTTTGCACCACGTTAGCGATGGGACAGGACCCGATGTGGCTTCTAGGGGGTGCCGAGGCCCGAACCCGAAAGGAAGGCAAGTTGTTCGCGAACGAGGGATGGGACGAAGTTAGTAGCAGAGTTGTGATGGGAGGATGGAAGAAACTCAAACCTCCAAGTCTACGGATAACGGCTTGGGTACCGAAATTCATAGCTGAGTGGTTTGGGGGGGTTGAGCACATTTTAGAAGTAGCCGACTCCATGAGAAAGGTGCATATAGAGTGTGTCTGGCTGACTGAGGAGTTCTATAGGCTCTCATTGAAATATGGGCCCTTCTACGGAAATAAAGTCGAGGAAGTCATCATCGTCCTAAGAATAGGCAGGTATGACCGCCTAGAGGTAGAGGCGGAGTCTTGGGACTCCATAGTTAGCCAGGAGGCGGCGGCCGCACCCTCCTACGTAGACGACGTCTTTAAACTATTTGAGGTACTGTGGTTCGACTGAATGAGGCCAAGGGGTCGAACACCGCGAAAAGACCTGAGTATGGAGGGTGTTTGTGAAGTGAGGTGTAACATAAGAAAGGGAGTGTGTACATTAGGCCGTAGATGGTGCATAAGGATCGAAACAAGGGGAAAGTGACAGCAACTGGAAAATGGGGGGGGGGTAGAATTGAACGTGTATGAGTTGGGGATAGCGGCAAGAACCAGTGTACGATAAGTAGGGAGGGTTGAAAGACTAAAACACGAAAGGCATGGAATCTCGGTGGGTGCAGCAATCAGACTAAGAAAGCAGGAAAGGAAACATTGCGAGATGACCCGACGAATGACGTTCTGGGAGGATAGACCTCGTGGGATCCTGCCACCAAGAATATCAGAAGGCAGGGCCGAAATAAGCCTACCGGCAAGAAATACGATAGGCAATCCAGTAATGGACTGGGTGGGGGTATAGTTGGTCGAAGATACGGTGTACCTAGTAGTAAAGCTGGAATGGCGTGCGAGAGGGGAGTTCAGGGGCGTAGACTTGAACCGCCCAGGGCGTGTACATGCGATGGGATCCTTACACCTGTCAGAAGAAGGATGGCGGACCTTTGGGATTGCTTTGGCTTCCGGGGATGACCCCGTACGAATGTTCGAAGGGGCATGGCAAATAACCTGGCGGGAGGGGTTTGAGTTTGCAAATCCGGAACGAGATGACGTGACGGCTGAGGTAAAAGTCGCCGCGGCAGGGGTTTTTGAGCTGCCAAATGAGGTCGTACGGATGAGTATACCACCCTTCCTACTAAGACGAATGGGAGGCATAGAACAAGTGGAGCAGGCGGTGACTACCGTAAATAGGCTAAATTTTGACGAAGCACTAATGTATCGAGAAGACTATCGGGCCTTCCTAGAGATGGGGCCTTTCGGGAATGAACAAGGGCGCGAGGTGCTTTGTATTCTAAGAGCAGCGGTAAATGCTAGGCCAGGAGTGCCGCAAATAAGTAATGAGACGATGTGGAGAGTCATCCGGCGAGAGGTAGGTCGGGGCGCGGCCTACATAGATCATCTCTACCGGTTGTACGAACAGCCAGAGGAGGCTACCGCTCCCAGGGGTTTAGAGGGATAGTTGGGACTAGAAAAGAGAAATGAAAACACGAAGGGCAAGGGAGGCAGTAGGTGGGCGGATTCTGAAGATTGGCTGTAACCCTTTCTATGTGGACTATGCAGGGAATCACCAAGGTAACAATGGCAGCAAGACGTGAGCGAATGGAACGCCAACCCCGTGTGTGAATGGAACGCCAGCCTCGGTACCCTGGACCGCCCTGGAACAACGGTGGGCGATGGGAAGTATCCCTCCCGTCGAGTTCTACCTATCGAGGGTTCGACACAGAATGGCGGGTCGTGACTTTGGGAAGGGACGCCGCCTTTATGTTGGTAGAATGTCGATGGACAGGGATGAGACTCCACCGAGGACCCGGAGACGATCTGTTTTCTAATCTGGAAGTTACCGGGACCATATATCTGCCTGAGATCGGCTGGCATTCGTTGGGGGTGGAGATAGCACAAGGTCACGAGCTGGCACCGGTCTTTCAAAGGGTCGCCCGGACGTTGACCCGAATAGGACAATCGGTTAGGGGAAGAAGGAACGTGGGCTTGCTAGCCCTGATGGAAATGGGAGGTTGGAGGGAGTTCAGGGCACCGACCACACCGCTGAGATGCCGAGTGCCCCGTTTTATGATAGACCTCGTCTTCGGAAGCCTCGCAAGGGCGCGAGAGCTGGCAGACTCAGCGATAGCCTTGGCAGGCCACTTTCCCTCCCCTACCATTGGGATGTTCTACGATGTCGCTGTGGAGCATGGGCCGTTCTGGGGAAACAGGGCACACGAATTACTAGAAGTCGTCCACATCCTGATGTTTTGTGCGCCTCGGCTAGACTGGACAGGGTGCGAACGCATAATCCAAAGGGAAATCGAGATAGGGGAGAATTATCTAATGGGGGTGGCTCAACTATTCGAGGAGCCTACCGAACCGGAAGAGCCGCGAGGGCGAGAGCGGGATTAGCATCCACAGGCGGGTCAATAGGACAGATCGAGTACAACTCGCTGCGTACGGAAGTTCGCCGATGGAAATAAGAAAGGGGCCTCGGACCTGGATGGCTAAAACCCACTAGAAAAAACAAAGAAGGGGGGGAGGCAGACTCCTAATGATTGACCATAACCCTGAAGGTCAAAAATGGGAAACGCCGCTCAGGAAGACTTCCCCTAGCAGGATGCCTAACCCGGACTCCCTCGCGTCGGCCGACGGGACAAGGGCACTACAAACGAGCTTGTGATAAAGGAAACCCAGTCACGTTCCTAGCTCGATTGGGCGGTAGGGCCAGTCGTGGCTCCACCTTAAGGAAGGCCAATCAGGAAACAGGGATAGGAAAGGAGGCTATAAAGATAAGCCAACAGAGCTGGGAGCCTAGGGAACCTAAATACCTCGCATTGCGTGTGTCCTGGGAATTCTTTGGCTTACGCAGAACTAGGCGAAATGGCAACGGAGGAGGAGATAAATAACCGTAAGAGTGAAGGAGAACCAGACTTAGGAGGCAGTGCCGCACAAAGCGAAGGGGGGCAGAAGGACAGAGAATCGATAAATCCGGATGGCACCAAAAGGAACCGGAAGGAAATCTCCACAGAAGAAAGCTCGGGGAAAGCCGGGGGAAGCAAGCAAGGGACCCAGGGGGCCAAGGAAGGCAGAAGAAAGGATAGGACAAGCCCCCGAAACTCGGAAGGAGCCATGCCTAAGAAAGTAAGGGTCACGGATACGAGGCGCAGACTAGCCGAGATAGACAAGAGGACCGCGGAATACAAGGCAAAATTGATTGAGGAAATGATAACTGGGAACGAGGAAGGTCCTCTGCAGGAGGAACCCCGGGACGAACGGAAAGCCAACCAAGGTGGGACTGGACAAGGGGATAAAGGTAGTGACCGTGGGGGAACGCCGAGCAAGAGAAGGAAAGAGAGAGAGAACTCTCCGGGGATGGAAGCAGAAAAGGCTACGACTCCGCCAGCCATGGAAAGTAGGGCTAGCCGCCTGCCGATCACGCCAGCAGTAGCGCGAGGATGCGAAGGACTTTGGAGCCTTAGGGAAAGAGTGTTGGGATGGTTTAACCCGGAAGGAACTATGAAAACCAGGGAGGGACAGAAGACCGACAAGGAAAGTCCGGATAACAGTGTGGCAGGCGAGGCCAGCAGCTCCAGGGGCGGCCTTAAGAAGATAGTGTCGTCCCTCGCGCGAGCACTAAACAAAAATCAAGGCTATCTGGCATACGCCAAGAAAAAGTTGACTTTCGATGGAGCAAACATCACAGAGTTCCTGATCGACTACGAGAACCTAGTTGCGTTAGTAAAGTGGACCGAGGAGGAAAAGATGGACCATCTAGGACAACATGTGTCATTAAGCCTAGGACGGGACAGAATGGCCATTGTAGTCGCAAGCCGGTCTTGGAAGGAGACCCGGGATGTGATGATGAGGAAGTACCTAGCGGCAGAGAAAATGGCAACGGAGGCCGACCTAGCGGCAGTTCAGAGGAAGAACTTCGCAACGTACAATGATTTCCTACGGGAATTACTCTGGTAGCACTAAGGATCCCCGGGGTCACGGACCGGATAATGAGCAAATATTTCCTCAGGCAGTTCTCCAAGTTCGACAAAGACAAGATCCTGTCAGCCTACCAACTGACGAGCAAGTTCGTAAACACGCGGGATGTTGATTTTAGCACGATAACGGATCTGGCTGAGAAAACGGTAGTAACAGAGACGTTGGCCTTGCTTAAGGAAGGAGAGATTATAGATCTGATCGGTAGGACGGGCAACAAGGTAAAAAAGGGGATTGAAAGTCTACATGAACGGGTGCACGGGTTCGACAATAAGATTGAAAGGATGGAAGGCGCGCTACTGGTTATGCAAGCGCAAGTATCCCGACATGCCCTCCCTCCCCAGGAAGCTGTGGTCCCGCCAGGTGTAGCAAACCGGGGATTCAGACAGAGAGATCCTGCTAACGAGCAATGCAAGTACTGCACCGCGATAGGACATTATGTGCGCGCATGCGGGATGCGGCGAGCCATTATCATGCTCAACGGTCTAGAAATAACAGCCGTAGAAGCCGAACCGGTGGGCGAGATCATCTGGGATCAGCTACAGGGGCGCGGGGCGCAGGCCAACTTTATTTTGGAAAGCGACGGACGTGACAGGGTGAACGCAACCACTCGACTGGGAACGGCCGGGAGAAAGATTAACCATGACACCATTATGGAGGAGGTCGTCGGAAGCTCCGAACCCCAGGCGGAGCCTGAGGCCGAGGAACCAGAGAAAGTCTATGAGAAGCTTAGGGAAGAGGAGCCTGCGGACAAGGTTACCGCTGCTAAGAAGAAGTTCAGGTATCAAATCCCGATCTTAACCTTGCCTGAGCTCGACGACACCATTAGCAAGTTACTAGGAACCATGGTGTCGGTGTGTTTTCAGACCATGCTGCAGGCTAGCCCTAGGTTGCTCAAAGGGCTCAGACAACTGTTGACTCGGAGGCGAGCAGAAATAGGCAACAACCCCGAATTACCAGAAGGGGAGAGGGAGGAGGAAGCTCCGCAAGAAGTGGCTAACCTTTAGAGGAGTCACGGGGACTTGGAGGATCTCGAAAAAGCCTTTGCAGACATTCGTTTGAGCTTGCCCGATCGAGAGGGCGGGGAAGTCATGAGATCGCCACCCGGGACGAAGCTTAGCTTTCATGCGCTGCCCATAGGGAAACTGAAAATTCAGATCGGAAGTCGTCATACCGACGCATTAGTAGACGGGGGAGCAGAAATCACTCTCATAAGAAGAGATTTCGCAACGATCGCGGGATGTACGGTGAACAAGGAAGTAACAGGGAGCATCCGGGGAGCTGGCGGGGAAATCCCGTTCGCTGGGTACGTCACGAAGTGTGTTGTGAAGGCAGGGGTCAGGGAATCAGCGGATGACCGTAATGGAGGAAATGTACCACGACATAATCCTCGGGAGACCATGGTGCACGAACATAGAGATGATAGGCATGCACTTACACGATGGCTCATACATGGTAGACATAGAGGACCCTGTGATCGGCCCGGGAGAGCTCCTCCGACTCCTTGGAACGGGAGGAGACCCCCCGAAGGGGAAATTGGCAACATGGTCGCCGTCGTTCGAGGATAGCACGCGGAAAGGGGTTTTCGCACGGAAGGAGGGTATGAGAGAAAGGGTAGAAATCATGATTGAGGAAGCATTCAACAAGAAGGAGTGGATCAAGATGGGCTTGCCCCAGAAGAAGAGGAGGCAGGAGGACGAAGTCCTAGGTGTTATGGTAGCGGAAAAGGAGTCAGAGGTCGAACTTGGTGCTAGCCTGCCCAAACGGAAAGAAGTACGCATAGACGTGCCGGAAATCGCACTCGAGATCCCCGATCTATTGCAACTCATCAAGGCCCTCAGATACCACAAGGTAGGAGTGGATTCGGCAGCCTTGGCCAAGTTCGAAAGAGAGGTGCAAAAGGGATATTGCCTGAATGGGAAACTAGTTAGTATTCAACCACGAGTCGTAGAGGCGACAGGGGCAATTCCGACAGTTCATTTTTTAGGAGAAAGATCCGGGAAGGAAGTGTTCGAAAGTACAAGCCGGTAGGGAAGAAAGCAAAACTGGTCTCGATCCTGCTAGAGACGTCAAAGGAAGAGGCTATGGAGAAGGAGGAAGAAGTCCTTCGAGTGATCCGAGAAAGAAGGGCGACGGAGGGACATCGGATACCAGATGAGGTAGCAGACACAATGAAGATAGGGATAAACGGGTTCTTAACGGAAGAAGAAACCCGCCTGATCAAAAGAACCTGCCAGGAGTTTCACCTGGCTTGCCTTTAGTGATCATCAGAAGGGACGACTGGATGCGAAGTTGATCCCTCCGGTCAGAATCCACACGGTAGAACATGAGTGCAGGAATGACAAGGGGCCATCCTATGAATTAGGGATAGCAGGAGAAGTAACAGACCTCCTCCGAGCGAAGATGGACTCCTTCGTTGCGGAGCCTACGGCATCGCCATACGCAAATCGGTGGTTCGTCTTTCGGAAGCCTAACAAGACACTAAGGTGGATTTAGGACCTGCAGAAGTTGAATGCGGTAACCATCCGGGATGCTGGCTCGCTACCTCAGGCTGACTTATTAGCAGAATCGCACGCCGGTCGGAGCATTTACTCCCTGATAGATCTGTACTCAGGGTACGACCAGCTTCCATTGGATGTTCGGGACATGCCATACACCGCTCTGCACACTCCCGTAGGGCAGCTATAGATGCAAGTGACACCTATGGGATTCACAAACGCGGTGGCCGAAGCGCAACGCAGGATGCTCGCCGTGGCCAGGGATATGTTCCCAGAAAAATGTGAACCTTACATCGATGACAATCCGATCAAAGGCGCGCAGGAGAAGGACGAGACGGAAGTCTAGCCAGCGATCCGACGTTTTGTGTGGGACCACCTGCAGGACATCAAGGACTTACTCCGACGGTTCCTAGTATACAACATTATGGCTAGTGGACCGAGGAATATCCTAGCAGTACCCGAGGTAACTTTACGAGGATTTCGTTGCGGTGCTTACGGCAGAAAGCCGGATCCGGCAAAAACCGACAAGATATCACAATGGCCGACATCGTTGCGCACGACAACGGAGGTAAGGGCATTCCTAGGCGTAGTCGGCTTTTGGAGGATCTTCATTAAGAACTTTGCCAAGATTGCTGAGCCTATCCGGGCTATGATCAGGGAAAAAGGAACCATGGATTGGACGGAGGAGCGAGAAGGAGCTGTCCAAAGGCTCAAGGACATATTGACATCTGAGACAGTCGCCCTATCCGCGCCTTGTTTTAATGACGAAGTGGGACGACCCTTCATCCTAGAGACGGATGGAGAACCTTTGGTCGTAGGAGGTGTGTTGATTCAAAGGGATGAGAGAGGAAAAGAGAGGCCGATTAGGTTCGAAAGTAGAACCCTGAACTCCACAGAACGGCGGTACTCGCAATTCAAGAAGGAAGTCCTAGCCATTCTGCATTGCCTTAAGACCTTTCAGGCCTACCTATTCAGGAGGCGGTTCATCTCAAGGATCGATCCGACGAATGTCGCAGGGGCTCTAAAGAATCACAGGTCTATAGATCCGACGGTAGGGAGATGGGTAGGATTCGTCTGGCAGTTCGATTACAAGATCGAACGGATTGCTGGAATCCGCAACAAGGCAGATGGGCTGAGTCGGGTTTGCATCACTCCCGAAGGGATGGAGGATGCAGAGCCCATAGACGCCTTCCACGAATACGAAGGAGGGACTCTTGCGGTGGATAACGAAATGATGAGCGAGGGATGCACATCGGGAGAACTATTGATCCAGACTTTGGAGAAGGGGGTACCTGCCGTAGTAGCAGAACTTAGGGAAGGACCAGTTACCACTTGAGGACGCAGAGAAGAAAAGGACTCATGGGGAGCGATAGTAGGACCGAAAAGAGGAGCTATTAGCAATGGCGGTCGAAGGAGGCCGGGAAGCAGTGATGAGCTTAGTGGAATCTTGGGAAAGGAAAGAGTTGCCATGGGTGGTAAATCAGATGCAGGAAGGAAAGGATGGGGGCAAGGAAGGAGAGGAGTTTTTCTATGTCCAATCATACGAAAGGTTCTTTCGGGAGATCGGTTTGTTATTGGTAGGAAACAAACAACCTACGGAAATCGGTATTAAGGCAAGAGAAGAAGCCGAAAGGTACGTCCTAAGGGGCGGGCATTTGTTCCGAAGCGAGGAAGGTGCTATGCCCAGAAGGGTTGTGTGCGAAAGATCTAGGCAAGTAGACGTTATCCAGGCAATGCACAACGGGTTAGCTGGAGGTCATCGGTCGTCCAAAGGAACACTTGCAAAGATAACGCCGCTCTATTATTGGCCAGGCATGGCAGACATGGTCGCCATATACTGTCAGACTTGTCTTATTTGCCAAGAACGAAGCTCGGTACGAGTCTTCGAGCCGCTTAGACCAACGCGGGTGCTAGGGCCGGGACATCTGGTCCACCTCGACCTTGCGGTCATGCTTGTATCAACGGATGGGTACAGGTATATCCTAGATGCGCGAGACAACTTGAGTGGGTTCGTGGAGCCAGTCGCCCTCAAGAAAAAGACAGGGAGGAATGTGGCGGACTGGATAGAAGACTTCTACTTAAGGCATCCGTTCGTCAGGAGGTTTATACCAGACAATGGGACGAAATTTGTGAACCAAGAAGTATTGGGGATGCTTAAGAGACTCTGCGTACCGATCAAACTCATCGAGCCGTATCACCCTGAGGCCAATGCACCTGTGGAAAGGGGGCACCGAACCTTGAAGAACACGATTGCAAAGCTCGCAGCAGACCATCTGGGGAACTGGCCTAGGTATCTTAAGCAGGCTGTCTTTGCAGAGAATATGACTCCTAAAAGGACAACAGGATGTATCCCGACAGAGCTTTGATACGAAAGAGAGATCGATTTTCCTGTGGAAGCCTTGGTACCTACCTGGAATAGGTTAGATGATGATCCGCAAATGACCACTGAAGAGTTAATCGAGGCAAGATGTCAACAAATCCTTAAGAATGAGGAGGTCGTGGAAGACATCGCCAGCCGGGTGCTGGACAACAGAATGAGGGACAAAGCAAGGTGGGACCAGGTTAAGAATATCAGAAAGGAACCACTTCAGGTGGGGGAGATGGTATTGCTAAGGAACTCGGCACTAGAAAGTACTTGGTTGGGACAGTTTGGAAGGAGGTTCAAAGGGCCCTACCGGGTCGCCAAGCGGGTGGGACTGAACACCTTCGAACTGGAAGATTTGGATGGAACTGGATTGAAAGGGCCCTTCCCGGGGCAACGACTGATCAGGCTTCTAAGTCGGGACCAAGTGGAACAATGGCTTCTGGAGGCCGAAGATAAGGAAACAGAGGAGCCACAAGCTAAAGACTGACCACAACCTTGCCCACACTATGGTTTGCCTCTGATCATGTTCGTGGGACTGTCATTTTTTTGGGACTGGCGCTTCGGCTTGGACTGACTGAGGTTGAAAGGCAACATGACTTGGGGGTTTGCAATATCTGGCTTGTGTGACAACGGGAAGGGATGTTTGGGGCATTGTACCATAGTTTTTGACGAAAAAAATAAAATAACAATGGGGTCATCACAAACGACGCATTCGCATGTATAAAAGGGGCGTGATGCGAGGGATACTGGGTACATTTTGGGAATGTCTACCGGCCTAAGGGGGGGGGAGGCGCGAGTTGCGGGTGTTGTTTTGTTATACAGGGCTTAGGAGTAAAATGAGAAAAGACAAAAATGGAATTCGGCAACGAGAACGACAGCGGGGCAATCAACAGGCCTACCGGAGGGGAAGAAGCTGGACTAAGCCAAGGGAGGAGGACAGTGAAGAGAAAATTGTACATTGGGCTCATGGGCGGGCCAGTGGTAGGGAGTGGTGGAAGGAAATGCTTGTGTAGGAAACCCTCACCCCTCCGCAAGGGAGAAGGTATAGAAATATCATCTGACAGTGAGGGCGAAAAGGGAAGGGCAAATGTGGAAGAAGGGGGCAACACAGAAATGAGAGATAAGGCTCGGATCTCTAACGAGGAAGGGGCCAACAGGGGCGAGCGACGTGAGACTTGGCATGGGGAAAGCGAGGGGGGACAAGGTATGCGCGACGAACGTGAGGAGGACGAGGAGAAAAGGGAGAGCCCGCTTGAAGGACGAAGCGGTCACGACACTTGCGAGGGGTATGGGACGGGGACAAAGATCAATTTTACCTACGATCCAAAGAACCTTGCTGGTGGGTATAGCCCCATACAGAGTAAAGACGAGGGGGACGAGGAGGAGGATGTGCGAGAAGTCATAGAAATCAGCAGCGGGGATGAGAGGGATGAAATCTCAAGGCCAAGGGAAGAGGGGCGGCCTCCGATGCACCAGCCGGGCGACGGGGCTTTCAGATGGGAGGACGAGTTTGGGCCAACGCCCAGTCATTGGTTTCAACAATGAACCAATGTGATCAAGCACGAATGGACTTTCAAGACTCGGGAACTCGCAAGGGCAGGGGTGGAAGTCACACCACTGGATTTTTTCAACGAGGCAGAGTTGCATAAAATTGTAAGGATGAAAAGGGAGATCGAGACCTACGGCCTGGGGGTTAGGAAACCTGTCGAGGAACGGGGTGGACGAGGAACTGGGCAAGACGAGGCACAAGGCAGCAATAGGAACTAGGTGTTGACTTAGCATTGAAAAGGATCGCTACTTTCTGTCTGCAGAGACATGAGAATGACGAGAACGTGTATAATATGGGCAAGCTTGTTAAGGAGGAAGTGAAAATAGGGCCAGCTAAGGCTGTATCACGATAAAATAAAGACATGGGATTTGGGATGAGCTACCTTGGGTACATAAGACAAAGACATGGGATTTGGGATGAGACCAATTGGGAGACGGTGTATTGTGAATTCTGGATGGAATAAGGATTATACTTTTAAGAGGGTAAAAACGGATTGACGAGCAAACCATGGCAATGAATGATTGGTCGAGTACAAGAGAGGTTAGGGAACCTATGGGTTAAGGGGCATGAAGAACACTCCTTCCCTAGGAGCCTAATCCAACTGAGTCATGAATGAGACTGAGAATAGTCGAAACCTGAGAGATCGGGAAGAGTGAAAATGGAAGGGGCGCCTTTGTCATTTGTTATGGATGAACGGCCGGGTGGGCTAGTGCTGATTGGGGTCGCAAGCCCCAACTCGAGTGCTAGACGCTAAGTCGGATGTACGCATGGATTGTACATTACTGTGGGAAATGGAATGGATGGTACATTACTGTGAGAAATGAAATGGATGGTACATTACTGTGAGAAATGGAAGAAAGAGAACAACACGCAAAAGATGAGATGGCCACCTTATTACCTCCAAGACAAAAATGGGATCAGTAACCTCGAGGCCCACCCCCTCGGACACTAACATTGAGAATGGAAAGGAATGACCCTAACCAGGCTGTTCGACTTGAGAATGTAAAGGAATGACCCTAACCAGGCTGTTCGACTTGAGAATGGAAATGAATGGCCCTAACCAGGCTGTTCGACTTGAGAATGGAAATGAATGGCCCTAACCAGGCTGTTCGACTTGAGAATGGAAAAGAACGACCCTAACCAGGTTGTTCGGAAATGGCCCCTAACAAGGGTTATTCCTTTTGAAATAGGCACTCCTGTATATTTGATTGAGAAAGGTTGATTGAGGATGAGTTGGAATGAGCTGGAATGAGCAATAAGAGATGAAAAAGGCCGGTGGGTCGGTCATTGAAATAGCCAATGGGATAAATGAGAGAGATGGAAAAGCCCGGTGGGTCGGTCATTGAAATAGCCAATGGGATAAGAGAAATGGAAAAGGCCGGTGGGTCGGTCATTGACATAGCCAATGGGATGAATGAGAGAGATGGAAAACGCCGGTGGGTCGGTCATTGAAATAGCCAATGGGATGAGAAAAATAAAAAAGGCCGGTGAGTCGGTCGCTGAAATAGCCAATGAATTGAATGGAGGAAATGGAAAAGGCCGGTGGGTCGGCCACTGAAAATTGCCAAGGGGGCGGGAAAAAAATATGAATAAAAGAGGCGGAACCTTAAAGCCAAGAGGGGCAGGGACCGTTGGGACGGTCACATAGATTGGGTGTTGAGGAATGAGAAAATTGAGGGTCGAGTAAGCGGAAGGGTCAGTCTTAAGAAATGGCTATTGGGAGAATGACCGCCAGACCGGCCATGAGGGTGGCCTTGTTGATAAGAGGCTGTCAGACCAGCCATGAGAATCAGTCTTTGAAATAGCATTGGATTGAATGATTGAGGATTGAATATTGCATTGCATAGGCAGGGGACCCTAGGCAACTTGAAATGGACTTGGAAATAGCCTTGAAATAGATTTTCTCTTTTTCTAGGCTTTGGCCTCAGCAGGAGTCCCTGTAAGGGAAAAAGTCTCAGCGCGACCTGTTCCTCTTGTAAGAGGATGAGGGTTAAAGGACCAAGGCACCTACCGCTTGGATTGGTGCGGGACATTCGGAACTGACCTCGACAACAAACTCTAGTCGGGAAGTTCAAATTGCGCCTCGTGTTGAACGCCTAAACGTCAAAGGGTGAGGGAGCCAAATGGGCGAGAGAGCCATTCTTTTTTTCTAGTCTTTTTTGTTCTCCCCAACCACACGCCATGTCGTTGAGGGGCGGCATGGCCGCTTGGAATGGACCACGGCGGCTCGCGTTAAGTTGAGCATCACTGTCCAGAGGAAGAAGTTGGGCGTCGTACTGGGTGGAAGCCACAACCACCACGGGCCATTGACACCGCCCCGCCGGAGCATTACAACCGCTTCGGGACTAATTGTGAGATCTTCGTAACTGCACTCGTGGACTAATTGAGAGCCCCAACTCTCTTGAAAGCAAGAGGCCGGATCCAGAAAATTACCACTCGGGAGGAACAATTCGCGAGGAAGCCCTTACGGCAAGACGAGGTCCTGGGAGGCTTGGATTGGACCTGCCTTCTAGATGTGAGGAGGTACCTCAGTAATGACGCCCGTCTCGTAAGCAGCAAAAAGTCGGACGGAGTAAGGGGATGAGGTGAGTTATCAACAGGGGGAGGACTGATCACCCTTCCTTTTTGGGGTTGATGGGCCGGCATCCTCCTACTCGTTGGTGGGCCAAAGGTTGCGTACCTCCGAGTGAGAACTAGTCGTGCGATGGGGACATCGTATTTTGAGTGGGGAGAAGGTGTGCCATCTACCGAAGGAAAAACGTGCAAAAGAGAAGGATACCATGAGCTTGAGAAAAGGTCTGGCAAGATGTCCAGAAGAGAAGAATGGATGAGTAATTAACTTTGCGCAGGCTTGAGAAAAGGTCTGGCAAGATGTCCAGAACATAAGAATGAATGAGTAATTGACTTTGCGCAGACTTGAGAAAAGACCTGGCAAGATGTCAAGAAGAAAAGAATGAATGAGTAATTAACGTTGCATGAGCTTGAGAAAAGGCCTGGCAAGATGTCCAGAAGAGAAGAATGGATGAGTAATTGACTTTGCGCAGGCTTGAGAAAAGGCCTGGCAAGATGTCTAGAAGAGAAACGGGTGAGAAATTGACGTTGCATGAGCTTGAGAGAAGGTCTAGCAAGCAACTTGTGTGATTGATTTGGCATAAGCTTGAAAATGGGCCGAGTAAGACGTTTGGAAAAGAAAAGACTCGTATGATGGACTATGTATGGATCTGAGAAAAAGACTGGCAGGCTGGGAAACAGATGAGTATTTGGAAACAGGTCTGACAAGGTGTGTGAAAGAGAGATGCACAAGGGATGAACTGGGCAGCATGTATGAAAAAGTTAAAAATAAGCAAGGAACAAGAAAGGACAAAGAGTGATATGAATGCAAAATTGGCAGGACCTGAGGAGAGTCGGGCGAAAGGACCCAGGCGAGATGCATGTGAATTTGGCAAGGCCTGAGCGTCGGGGAACGGTAAAGGGAAACCATGGATTGCACAGGCCGAAAAGTAGATTATTTTTTATAAGAGTAACGAATGAGGCGAGACCAAAATGGTTTCTGCTCGAGAATGCTTCCTCGATGAAAT